GGTTGCAGTTCTGGAAAATGGTGGCGCTGGAGACTAAATGGTTCCTGGTGATTTCACACCTAATTCTTCACCTTAATTCCTCATTCTTTTGCCGTTAACATGCATCTTTTCTTCTCCACATGTTTTTGACTGACCCTGCTGACCACTGAGCATTTTGCTGTCCATTGGTTATGCATTAACTTTGCAATTTCTAGTATTGTATTAGTTTTTAATATTTCTCATGGGCATTTAATAATTTTTTACTTTCAGTCTGAGTTAAATCTCTTTTTTTGGGCTCATTTTATCTGTAAAAGAAATTCTGCTTAATAATTATGCACACCTGAATTCACCTGAAGACATTTTTCACATTCCAGCCTTCATGAATAATTATATATCAATTATAAATGATTAAGTACAAGTTTAATAGTAGTTATTAAGATTGATGTATTTTGGAATTGGTAAAATGTGCTTGGAAAAAAATATGATCAGAATATCAACTTGCATAATAATTATGCATGCACTGTATTTTTCCTCTTCTGCTGTTGAGGTAATGCAAGGAATGTTGTGATTGGTTGTCAAGGCAGCCTATCAGAATTTAGCAGCCTCGTCTCTGATTGGCTGGAATTATGGCATATTGTAACGCTGGGTTGTGTTGAGCTTAAATGCAAAATTGATTTTCGTGCGCTCGAAATATGCACGCTCAAAATATGATCTTTTGTGCGCAGAATTGTGGCAGAGATGTAATCCCATAGTTAACCAGCGTGATTTACATCGAGTAAAGATCTGAGTAACTAGCATAATTTCAAATGTACAGTTTAGTCTAAGACACACAACAGCTATTTGTTCATAGTTTACCAAAAATGAAATTCACCTTCATGTCGTTACAAACTGCATGAATTCTCTTCCATTGAACACAAACGTTCATTTTTCCTTCAGATATCATTTGTGCATTAAGGAGTCAGTTTGATTCATTTATGTGAATCAGATCGAACTGAATCAATTCAAAACTCTGATTCAATGCTTTGTATAGCCTAATTCACTCAGAAATGTCCATTGTGTGGCATTATTTGTTAAAATGACTTAGTAAAACATATTTAGATAAATATTGCTGTTTATTAATATGTATTTTCAAGCCAATGCATATAAATGAAAAATAAATGAATAAATATTCATTGCATTGATTTAGTGAAAGCTGGTAAAAAAAAAAAAAGCATGCTTTGATTATTTTTTTAAATCTAGATTTTATTGTTTGGCTACAATTATGGTTCCTCTGGGGATAAAAAAAACATTTCAATCAACATTTTGACCCATATTTCAGAGAAAATATATAAATATAATGGATATTGCCAAGACGTCGATAAAAAAGTGATACACTTTCACTGAATGGAAAACAGGTGTGTGAATATTCTGCATTACATCTTCTTTTGTGTTCAGTGTAAGAAGGAAAATTATATGGATTTGGAATATGAGGATTAGTAAATGATTAGTAAATTCCTGCAATACTGTAAAGAGTATCTGTCAGCTCTGAACTCTGGTCAGCTCTCTCTCATAATGCAGAAACAGCTCAGGCTCTAAATAAACCGAAGGAGCGAAACAGATAAAAATAAATCTGAACACAAGACACTAGGGACTGGTGGCCAATTAACAGAATAATTAACCAAACTAAGATCCATTCAGAAAAAAAGGTCACAGGGCAGCACACTCACGTTTAGTGGCTTATAATCGAAGTGCCCTCAGATAACAGAGAAAAATGTGAGGATTTATCGCTCATTTAATCACTGCATGAGTGCTTTTTGAAGGATTTTTCCAGGTTCAGTACAAGTTCAGCTCTGTGGACAGCATCTGTGATGAGCATAAAATCAAACACAAATATGTTTACAGTAAAATACATGCATGGAAGTCTGTGGAACTGTTTGAAGATACAACATGAGACTGCTGTGACAGAAACACTTACCAACTCTGTGCAAAGTCATAATCCATGAGCAAGTAAACCTAGGATGAATTATAATCCAAAACAATGGGACCTAGATACAAGGCTTTGCAAATGAAAAATGTATTACTTGAATAGTTTACCCAAAAATGAAAATTTGCTGAAACTTGACTCACCCTCAGTTCATCCAAGATGAGTTTGTTTCTTCATCAGATCTGGACCTCTAGCAGGTAACTCTTTTGCAACCTGGTTGTTTAATTGTGAAACTTCCATGCATCCTGTGCTCAGGCCATACAAGAGTTTCTTCATGGGAACAGATTTGGCGAAATGTAGCATTCCATCACTTGGTCACCAGGGTGGATGCTCTGCAGTGAATGGGTGCCGTCAGAATGAGAGTCCAAACAGCTGATAAAAACATCACAATAATCCACAAGTAATCCACACCACTCCAGTTCATCAGTTAACATCTTATGAAGAGAAAAACGGCATGTTTGTAAGAAACAAATCCATCAGTAAGGCATTTTAACTTTAAACTGTCGCTTCCAGCCAAAATACAAGTCCATAATCCATGATAACGCTTCCTCCAGTGAAAAAGTCCATCTCCTGTTGTCTCTCAAAAATCAATTTTTAAATCATTTTCAAAGTTTTAAATTCCTTGTTTTATTGTTGTGATTATTATTTTTTATTATTTTTTCATTTCTTTTATGTAAAGCACTTTGAATTACCATTGTGTATGAAATGTGCTATATAAATAAACTTGCCTTGTCTTGCCTCACATCAAAATCCACTCACATATTTGTTTAGAATTGTTTTGCCTTGTAAACGGTGCTTGATCTGTGTAGATTTAGCTCCTGATTCAGATCAAATGACTTTTCACTGAAGAAAGCGTTATGGATTATGGACTCGTATTTTAGTAAAAAAAATCTTAATGGCAGATTTGTTTCTTTTAAACACACAGCTTTTGTCTTCTCCAGATGTTAACTGATGGACTGGAGTGGTGTGGATTACTTGTGGATTATTGTGATGTTTCTATCAGCTGTTTGGACTCTCATTCTGACGGCACCCATTCACTGCAGAGCATCCACCCTGGTGACCAAGTGATGGAATGCTACATTTCGCCAAATCTGTTCCCATGAAGAAACTCTTGTATGGCCTGAGCACAGGATGCATGGAAGTTTCACAATTAAACAACCAGGTTGCAAAAGAGTTACCTGCTAGAGGTCGGTCACAAAGCACTGGTCTGAGGGATTCATGTCATGCAGGCGCATTAAACCTGAACTTTGATGAAAGGAACCATTGATCAGTGCAGTGAAAAGCCTGCAGACCCACAACCATCTGAAGGAACACAACAGCAAATCAGATTTCTCCACTTTAATCGATCAGTGGGTTTATAGAAGACAAAACCCGAAAACAAAACAAGTGAAAAACGTCTCGCAGACAACGTGAACATTATTTGTCTTCATTACAAAAGAAAGTTAAACTCCGAGTTCATTTCAGAGTTGAAAGCAGCAAATAAATAGACAAATCATGTCAATAAAAATAAAGAAACGATGAAAGCTGAAAGAACTTTTGGGTTTGCCTTCAGCTTCATTCAGAAACCATTTCTAAAGAGCATCTTGTCATTTTTAAATCATCAGTTTGTAATCGCAGCAACGGTAACCATTAATGTTCCCAACACAACAACAAAGCCTTAAACCTACAGTGACATTTCAATCACATCCATTTCTCCATATGATGCAAAAACACAATTAATTCCTGGGGGTTATAGTCTCATTATTAAAGAAAAGATGCTTTAATGAACATTAAACCAAAAATGATTCGGTTAATTCCACTTTGTAACCTTTTAAATCTAGAGTGATCTCATTAGTTTTCATAAGTATTTGTATGTAAAGTACATTTGCAATTTTGACCTTTGAACTAAAATTGTATTTATGTTAAATTATTTTTATATTAAATTTATGTTTTATCCAAAGCAACTTGCATTGCATTCAATGTGCACATTAAATCAGTTCATGCATGAACACATTTACGTGTAATGTTGTAATGTATTTATTTGTGCAATTGTAAACATTTGTAAAATTTGTACTAGAGTCACTTTACATACCAATACTTATGAATCTCCAATGAGATCATGTTTATAAATCATAACATCTCAAATTTGACTACAAATCTAATACTTTAAAGTATTTTTTAAACATTTTTGCTAATTTAGAAAATGTCCAAATGCTTCAGGGTTCACTAACAATGAGTAATTTGATAATGATGGTAAACTGTGAAGTTTCACCTATTTAAGAATTAATTTATATATATATATATATATATATATATATATTTATTAAAATTCCGTAATGCTTTTTCCATTAATTTCAGGCACCGCTGTGGATGCACAATAAATAAATCGCACAAACAATCTTTGTGAACACACACATAAACACACACATACGGACTGAAGACAGATAACTTAAGAGCAACCGCTGTGGATGCACAATAAATAAATCGCACAAACAATCTTTGTGAACACACACATAAACACACACATACGGACTGAAGACAGATAAAGAACTTAAGAGCACAGCGTGATGAGTGAAGTCTGACAGGTGCGAATCAGATTACACCAATAAATCAAAAGAATGAAATATAGAAATTACATTTTGCATGAAGAGCATGAGGCCTGTTTTAGGACCATTAATTGTTTTGACATTATTTTAACAATAAATAAGCAATTTTTTTCTGCAATTTACATTACTGCAATATGCATGAACATTTATTTTTTTAAATTTATATCAGCAAAAATAAAAAGCAGTATATCAAATACTACCATCATGCAAAAATTATATTATATAATTATAAATAAATGTAACATAATTATACATTTAAATTTATAGACAATTATAAATAAATAAATTTGCATTAATGTCTCAGAATGCTTTATTCAGTTTGCAAAATGCAATAATAAATAAATGATAAATAAATATAATAAAAATAAATAAATTACAAAATAATTTTCAATTTTTATGAAAATAAGATGAAAATATTTGTATGAAAATAAGAAACTAAGCTGAAACGTTTGTATTAGATTTTATCCCCTGCTTTAAATTAATAAATATTCTTTTAGAGTCCAGACCTTTTTTGTACTTCATGAAAATAAATGTCAATGCAAAATATTCAAATAGGCTTCGTTTTCCTAATGCAAAATATAATTTCTTACTTTTTCGGTTGATTTTGTGGGTGAAATGTGACCTCTGTGAGATTCACTCCAGTTTGAGGACAGAGAAAGTGACAAAAAAGGCAGGAGAATATTTAAAAAAAACATGAAAACAATTTAAAAAAATGTTTTTATCATTTGCTTCTGCTGATCTGAGTGCGGTTTAAAAGGCTCTTGATGTCCACAGCAGTTTATGAGATCCTTTTGCAAACCTAAAAGGTGCATCCATCCTATAAATACACACACGCATACATGTCTTTGAGTGTCTGTTATCCAGTGCATGGCAAGTTCAGCCGTCCACGCGTTAATTATTAATGTGTTGTTCTATAAGCTCAGCAGCTTGTCTGCTTCGGGGTAAGTGGGATACTTCACCGTCTCGACCTTCTCCTTGACTTTATAGGACGGATAGAGGCCGGTGCGTCCCAGTTTGCGGTTGACCCCTTTAGAGTAGCCGTCCCAGTGGTTTCCGGCCACTCCGATGACGTCTCCGGGCTCCAGTGGGATGTCCTCCGCCTTGCGCGCCTGGTGCGGGTAGATGGCGATTTGGTTGTGCGCATTCTGTCCACCGAAGTAGTAGATGTCGTCCAAAGAGCGGAAGAAAGCCGAGGCGTCCGGATGAAGAGTCTGCATGATCTCATATGCCACACGACACACCTGATAGAACCAGAAGAACAAAGTCAAAATTCTGTTGGGCGGGAAAAACAAAATGTAAAAAATTTGTTTTCTCTCATTTTAGTTTATCTTGTTTCTTAGTCATCTTGTTTTAATTAAATTAGTCTTTGATTAAATCTGTTCAATGTGGCCACGATTTACTAAAACGAGGGAACAAATGATTAATTTACTGTATTACCACAATAAATATATTTCTATATGCATGTCATGTGCTGGGCTCCATAAATATGAACTAACAATAGCAATACATTTTTTTTTACCAGCATTTATTGTTGTGTTAGTAATAGGGATGCACGATATTGGATTTTTGCCGATATCCGATATGCCGATATTTTTCAACTCATTTTGGCCGATGCCGATATTTTTCCTTTTGTTTGGAAACAACACCAAGTCTCTCCGGTGTGGAAATTATAAGCTAATTATTTTAAATTTTGGTTAGTTTTTAACAAGAACTTATTTGCTGCATTTTTTTTCTCAGAAAGATGCAGTATTAACCTTAACATTTTATTTTAAGATTTAACATTTGTAGATGGTCTAAAGCAAAAGAGTTGTAAAAATTCTGAAAATCTTTTAGAGATCAAAATTTGTTTAAAAAATATAACATATTACACATTAATGAATAAATCAGTATATATAGAATTATTAATTTACAAGTGTCCTGTTTGTGATTTTTTTTAAATTCGTGTAAGATATAGCTTCTGACCTTTAAATCAAAACATACTCATGTTTTATGACATCAATTACTGCTTTATTTGATCAGAAACACAGTCTAAATGTTATTTGTGTATTTTACTTTCATTTCATTGGAAGTAGGCCAACAGCGCCCCCTACGGAATTAAAACTCCTTACCGAACGGGGCATTAGGACCCGGGGGAGGCTGCCGCTGCTGCCACTGCAAGTGCTGTAACTGTTTACTCTATAAAATACACTGAAGCATCATTCTGTACATGCATTCTCAGTTTAAATGCAGCGATCCAAAACAGTCAATCCAATCACTATTCAGGCAAAACTTTGCTTCAAGAATGAGCCAAACTGTTGACATGATCTAATCGCTACACACCCTGAGCACATAGTCGGCACGACATATCGGCATAATTTTTCATATCCGATGCCGATATTTACATTTAAAGCCATTATCGGCCGATTCCGATATCGGTCCGATAATATCGTGCATCCCTAGTTAGTAACAATAATTGTCTACCATTACTGCGATTACAAACTGATGATTTTAAAATGACAAAAAAATATTGTTTATAAATGAACCTTTACGAATGAATTTTGGGAAATTATAGAAATTAATACTTTTATTTAGCAAGGATGCTTAAAATTGATCAAAAGTGATGATAAAGGCATTTATAATGTTACAAAAGATTTCTATTTCAGATAAATAGTGTTCATATCGATATCGGAATTATATCGTATCGACCGAAATTAAGAAATATACCGTGATATCAATTTTGGCCATATCGTCCAGCCCTGACATGAGGCCTGTTTTAAGACCATTATAACTCTTTTTGCATTTTGACATTATTTTAATAACAAAGCATATTTTCTCTGCCTCAATGCAGGGTTATTATGGTTAATTAAAACTGAAATTAAAACCATTAAAAAATGTAATTTCTTGAAATGAAATAAACGTTAAATATAAAAAATATAAAATATAAAAAAACTTTTTCTTTCAGCTAATTCTCAAGGCAACATTCTATTCGTTTTAATTTAGTTTAACTTAACTTGATGTACTGAAATAACAAACTAAAACTAAAATAAAAATTATATAAAAACTAATATAGACACACACGCCCATAAACAAAAACTTCAAAAAAGAAAAAGAAAACAAAATGTCTAAAACAAACAAAAAGACATGTAAAATATAAAAACTAAAAACTGATTTAAAAATTAACAGTATCTCAGTGATACTGAAACAACACTGCATTATTTTTAATGACTTTATGTAGTTACTTTTATGTTTAATAGATGAATTATTGACAGAAGGAGAAAAACAAAGTCAGAAAACCATTAGATTAACATTTAGATTAACAAATGCTGTAGAAATAGTGTTTACTGTTCGTTCATGTTTACTAGTGTACTTAATGTTAACAAATGAATCCTTATTGTGTAAAATGTTACTGATAAAATAAACAGTTATCGATGTACCTGTGAGGAGAAGGTGCAAACCAGGAAGTCAGTCTGGGACAGGAAGTGGATGTCCAGGATGACGCCTCTGAGTGAATTCTCGGTGTATCGGTTATGTAAACTCGCTGACCAAGAGATGGAGTTATCACTGATGAACTCATAGTCTGTGTACCTGAAAAACACAGAATACTGGATTTAATTTTTACAATTTTAGATCTAATATTAAATTTTTTATAATTAATTTAAGGTGTGACCATGAATTTCAACTTGAACTTGAAACACAAAACTACATTTTGAGATTTTAAGAATTTCACATCATAGAAGACAATGTTAGCATCTGTAATTTAAATGGTAGGAGAAAACTGGTCAATTTTGAGTCTTCACTTTTTTGGCTTCCAAGTTTAAAATCTTCATTGCGTCTTTGATGTTGACAATGAGGATTTTTAACCTGGAAGATGAAAACAGTGCAAAATACATTTAGTAAATAAATTCCTTATCAGATACATGTGTTTTATCATTATATAATTTTAATAAAATTTAACAATTACAAGTATACATTTTAATTTATATATATAATTATAATCAAACCAATTTCAAACAAATACATAACAAAAAAATTGGAAACTATAAATACATTTTAATTTTCATGACAATCTTAAAAATAAACGGCAAACTATAATAAAATGTTCATTTTCATGAAATTTTGATGACTGCTGTGCACTAACACAGATTTAGACAGATTTGTGAACAATATTTGAGAGAAATAGGCCTTTTGTGTACATAGAAAAAGTCTTAGATCTTTGAGTTCAGCTCATGAAAAATGGGGGCAAAAACAAAAGTGTTGCGTTTATAATTTTGTTCAGTGTATGTGTAATGTAGTGTGAACTTGAATATATTTGATCAATTTGCTGAAAGCAGCGGTAAATTGCAGATCAGTAGCCGTTGTTCTGCAGTTTGTCTCCCATTTTTCCCTGAACTTTTTTCGGTTTGTTGTAACATTTTTCAAAACTGTTGTTTCATGACCCTTTAAGGACTCATCATAACTCACTTGATTTTTGCCTCCTGTAACAGTGAGGGGTCGTCGGTGGCCAAATACACTCGTTTTTTATCCACGTGGCCACGTTGAGCCATGTACTGGAATTGTTCCTCCACATGGACCATGTACTCCTCTATGGGGTGAAATGCAGCCTCCGTCCCAACTTTATCTGTCCGTCTGACATGGACGCTGTAAGAAAAACTGGATTTATCTGCTTCTTTTTATAGAAACCATTGGGATTTTCCCCCTCATTTTTTATCTGATAGGTCATAAGTACGTTTTCTTCAATGTAGTTTGTAGTAGCTATGTTGATTTGCTCAGTTGAGTTTTAGTAAAGTGAGAAGGACAGTGTAAAGAGTTTAACCTGCTTTGCATGATCCATTTGGTGCCTCACTGGAAATCCTATATTGAACTGTAATGCAAACATTAGAGCACAATGCTAGCAATGCCAAGGTCATGGGTTCAATTCCCAGGAAATGCATGAACTGATGAAATGTCTACCTTGAATGCGATGTAGGTCACCTTGGATAAAAGCACCTGCCAAATGCATTGACTTATACATTTATGCACTTAAATAAATTGATAAAAATGATTTATGAATTTATGCATTTATTTTGATTTTCCGTATTTAAGCACTTATTGTGAACAATATTTGAGAGAAATAGGCCTTTTGTGTACATAGAAAAAGTCTTAGATCTTTGAGTTCAGCTCATGAAAAATGGGGGCAAAAACAAAAGTGTTGCGTTTATAATTTTGTTCAGTGTATGTGTAATGTAGTGTGAACTTGAATATATTTGATCAATTTGCTGAAAGCAGCGGTAAATTGCAGATCAGTAGCCGTTGTTCTGCAGTTTGTCTCCCATTTTTCCCTGAACTTTTTTCGGTTTGTTGTAACATTTTTCAAAACTGTTGTTTCATGACCCTTTAAGGACTCATCATAACTCACTTGATTTTTGCCTCCTGTAACAGTGAGGGGTCGTCGGTGGCCAAATACACTCGTTTTTTATCCACGTGGCCACGTTGAGCCATGTACTGGAATTGTTCCTCCACATGGACCATGTACTCCTCTATGGGGTGAAATGCAGCCTCCGTCCCAACTTTATCTGTCCGTCTGACATGGACGCTGTAAGAAAAACTGGATTTATCTGCTTCTTTTTATAGAAACCATTGGGATTTTCCCCCTCATTTTTTATCTGATAGGTCATAAGTACGTTTTCTTCAATCTAGTTTGTAGTAGCTATGTTGATTTGCTCAGTTGAGTTTTAGTAAAGTGAGAAGGACAGTGTAAAGAGTTTAACCTGCTTTGCATGATCCATTTGGTGCCTCACTGGAAATCCTATATTGAACTGTAATGCAAACATTAGAGCACAATGCTAGCAATGCCAAGGTCATGGGTTCAATTCCCAGGAAATGCATGAACTGATGAAATGTCTACCTTGAATGCGATGTAGGTCACCTTGGATAAAAGCACCTGCCAAATGCATTGACTTATACATTTATGCACTTAAATAAATTGATAAAATGATTTATGAATTTATGCATTTATTTTTGATTTTCCGTATTTAAGCACTTATCAAACCCAAACATAAGTGGGGAATTTGATCAGTTCATGCATTCCCTGGGATACAAACCCATGACCTTGGCGTTGCTAGTGCTGTACTTTACTGTTTGAACTACTTATGTAGTCTTAACCATGAAAATATGCAAATTAAAGGCATTTTTAATGATTCATATCACATATCATGTAATTCAACTAAAATAAACACTTGTCTTTTGCATCATGCATTTTCCAAGGTTGGCATTCTAACCTTTTTTTAATCATAACATGACATGACTTAGCTGGTGACAAATTTTATAAAAAAAAAAAAGATCAAAAAACTATTTGTCCATGCTGCCCTTTTGCATACAGTGAAAAGTGATGGATGCTGAAAAGCTCCAAAAATGCATTAAAA